GTGGTTTCTCTTTTCTTATCACTGCCCCAGAGAATTATTTGAGAAAAGGTTTTTGGAAATAAACCTGATAAAGATTTTGTTGTTCTACAAGATGCTTATGGGATAAAATTGTATACACACACACACATACATTTGTTCTTTTCCCTGTGCCTCTACAGCACTCCTCAAACTTTTAAAATATCCAGAGAGATAGGAATATCTTTTATTATTTGTGAAGAGATCCTTTCATACTCACTGGAGTTTATACTAGTGAGTTGGCTCACGGCAGTCCCTTAGAGAGGTTCAACATGGGGGCTAATTATCAGAGGACTCCACTACCTGATTAGATGGTTAGAACTATGTGCCCCATCTCCCAACCACTGGGGAAGGGAGGGCAGCTGGAGATTAAAAATTCTGATACAAGGCCAGGCATGCTGGGTTATGCTGGAATCCCATTTCTGTTAAATATAGAAAACCTAGGTTGGAATTGTGGTAGGTGTCTATAGTCCCAGCTGCTAAAGAGGCTGAGGCAAGAGGAATGACTAAGCCCAAAAGTTTGAGGTTGCTGTGAGCTATGATGCCATGGCACTGTTACCTAGGGAACAGAATGAAACTCTGTATAAAAAAAAGAAAGAAAGAACAAGGCTAAGCAAGCTTCTAGGGTGATGAACAAATTAATGTGTTAGGAGAGTGATTCACCCAGATTCCAGAAGAGGGAGCATGGAAGCTCTTCATCTCACCCTTCTCTCCTTGTCCTAAGCATCTTTTCCATTTGACACCTCATGTGTTGTATCCTTTTTAATATCACTGAATAATAAGGTTAGAACTTTCCTGAGTTTTTTGAGTCATCCAGGAGAATTATTAAAACTGAGAAGGTTCATAGGTTTTCCCAAATTTGGAGTCAGCAGAAGAAAATTCCAGGTTTTGCAGCATAAGGACCTCATTTGCAGCTGGCATCTGATGTGGAGATATTCTTGTGACTGAGTCTTTAACTTCTGGGTTTTCACTAACTCTGAGAATTTAGTGTCAGAATAAAGCCAAATTACTGGACACTCAGTTGCCCCTGGGGAATTTTGGTGTTGATTGACATAACTGATGCAGCAGACAACTAAAAGTACAAGGACTATTCTGTCAATTATTATTATCTATGAGTTTCAATTTACCATTAAAAAGGAACATTATCTGTTTAACCAAATAATCTGATCATCATGGAAAGGAAATGAGCAAATAGAGAAAGTAACAAAGGACACTAAAAAGGCTCATAAACTCACATGTAGGAATCTTACCCTATTGATTTTTTAAAGTGTATTTCAAAAATTGAAAACATGCAGTGGTTCTATTTGCCCAAGCTATCATTAGAGTATTATTAATTATATTTTTGTAATCAAGAGTATGTGAAAAAATGTTATACCTGTTACATCCTGTAATCTTTATATATACTTTGGCATGGATGTAATCAGAACCTGATGGGAGGCAGAGTGGAATAGTTAAGTATAAATATAAAAAAAATAATTTTGACACAATACAATCTTCTCATTCTCTAATAAGAAAAGACCCTTAACACAATGTATTACTTTCCTAATATTTTTTGAATAGCTACTAACTAGGATCTCAATGATGGGAGATTAAGGAGATTAAGGAACATTTATTCTCTGCTCATGGTCTTTCCCAGAATCAGCCACATCACAAACTTTTTCTTAGAAATGAGGACGAGCTTTAGGTAAATGATTTCTGATGTAGGTAAATAATACAAGCTATCGGAAATAATCTCTTCCTTTCAATCCTTCTGGATAATAATGTAACCAATCAGACTCAGCCTCTTCTTTTTAATCCCCAAGGGAATGACACAGGTTGGACTTTTCTTCAGTCCCACCCTCCGGCAGACTGAATCCACTCTTAAAAAACATTGCCATCCCAACGTTACTTTTCCTCTCAACCTGAGAAATGTGCCTCAATGTCTGTTCAGAGCATTTCTGGTGATGACAGACAGACATATTAAGAGCAGTGATATCTTAGATGTGTTCTAAAATGTGAAGTCCCCACCAAAGCACTAAATTTCTCCAGATCATTTTCTTTAGATATTCACATTTTCATTCTCCATGAAGCACTCTCAGAAACCTTAGACTAATGTCACAGAAACAAGAAAATATGGCAAAGTCTGGAATAAGCTGAGGAGAGTTTAGAGGGACATTTGATAAAATTTGTAACAATATGCTGAGAATCAAGCTAGCTACTGAATGTTCCCACCTACATGGGAGGCAATGAGCAGAGTATTTGGCAACAAGACAGGGTGAGATTGTTCAGAATATCCTCTCTGATAGTCTTTACCCAGAGTGATGACAGA